TTTTTTTTTTTTTTTTTATGCAATAGAAAACAACAATGCCCCCCCAAAAAATATGGGCATGTTGGGTTTTTTGAACCCTACACGCCCATATATATATATATATTTTGTCCACTAAAATATGAGAAAAAAATTGCTGCACCAAACTTGGCTGGTCGGCCGTAGCCGAACCCGGCCAATTTGGCCGACGGCCACGGCCGCGGCCGAGTTTCCGGCCCCGACCGTGACCACGCGTGCAACATAGCCTTACGGTGCACCTATTCTCTTCGTCCGGAAGAAGAACAAAGATCTACGATTATGCATCAATTACAGAAAACTTAACGCACAAACCGTAAAGAATGCCGACCCTCTCCCTCAGATTGATGATCTCCTTGAGCGGTTCGGCGGCGCGACGTACTTCTCGAAGTTGGACTTGAAGTCGGGGTACCACCAGATTGAAATTCAGCCTCATGATCAGTACAAAACTGCGTTCAAGACGCGGTACAGACACTTTGAGTGGGTTGTCATGCCATTTGGCCTCACCAATACCCTCGCGACTTTTTAAGCAGCTATGACGACTGAGTTTCGCAACTTGCTCGATCGCAGCGTCCTCATCTACCTCGATGAAATCTTGGTTTATAGTAGGACGTTGGATGAGCACGTCGTACACCTTCGCGCTGTTTTGGATCGTTTGCGACTGGCCAAGTACAAAGCGAATCTCGACAAGTGCGAGTTCGCCAAGCAGGAGCTTGAGTACTTGGATCACTATGTCACGCCGAAAGGCATTCGTCCCTTAGCGAACAAGATCCAAGCCATCGTGGATTGGACGGAACCCCGTTGCACGACGGATGTACGCTCTTTCATGGGTTTGGCCGGATATTATCAGCGATTCGTCGAGTCATACTCGAAAGTGGCCGCTCCCTTGTCGAGACTTCAGTCCCCAAAGGTGCCCTTCGAGTTCGACGACGCAGCCCATGGCACGTTCACTACGTTGAAGGCAGCAATGCAAGCCGCACCTGCCCTCCGTATATACGACCCCACCCTTCCCACCCAAGTGACGACGGACGCTTCGGGATACGGTATTGGTGCGGTGTTGGAACAGTGTCACGAGGACGGTTGGCATCCGGTTGAGTATTTCTCCCAAAAGTTGCCTCTCGTCAACACTCTCGACGACGCTAGGAAGAAAGAGCTACTCGCGTTCGTCACCGTTCTCAAACGATGGCGCCACTTTCTTCTCGGTCGTCGGCGTTTTAAATGGAATACGGACAACAATCGGTTGACCTTTTATAAAATGCAGGATACGGTCACTAGCATGATCGGTCGATGGATGTATTACATCGACCAGTTCGACTTTGACCCGTGCCACATTCCCGGTCCCGCCAATCGAGCTGCGGACGCCTCTCACGACGGCTCGATTTTTGTGCCATTGTGACCACGGCATTCGACCTCGATGACGATCTGCAGCCGCATTTCGTCAAAGGCTACAAGTCCGATCCGACTTACTCTACGCTTTATGCGGAGCTTTCATCGGATCACCCGCCGGCTAGCCATTATCGGATTTCCGACGGGTTCCTCCTCCTTCACACGAGAGGAAARGACTTGTTAGTTGTGCCCCAAGATCGTATCTTACGGACTCGCCTTCTCGGCGAATTCCACGACGCACGACTTTCGACACACCTTGGCGTAAACCGCACATTAGCACGCCTTCGCCAGCGTTTTCACTGGCCCGACGTCCTTCATGACGTCACGAGGTACATTGAGTCATGTGCAGTTTGCCACCGTAACAAGGGTCGATCTCGAGTCCCCTTCGGYGAACTGAAACCGTTGCCGATTCCTCGGGCATCGCGCCTCTCCATTGCTATGAACGTGACAGGCCCGTTCCCCTGCGATCGCCTCGGCCATGATGGTATTCTCACGGTCGTTGACCGTTTGAGCAAGTATGCTCGCTTCCTTCCTTGCAAGTATCATGCTGCAACACCCGAGCTCGCACGACTCTTGCACACCGGTTGGATTACCAACCAGGGTGTTCCGGAAGACATAGTGAGTGACCGAGATACTCGCTTCATGTCGGGCTTTTGGACTTCCCTTATGGCTGAGTCCGGTACGACAATGAAGTCGAGCTCGGCTCGACACCCGTGGACGGATGGCCAGACGGAGCGAGCACACCAGACCGCTCAGATGATGTTGCGTACGCTCATCCGTCCCGACCAGAAAGATTGGGTTGACCGGCTTCCCGACATCGAGTTAGCCTATAACACTTCGGTGCACCCGACGATCTGTGTCACACCATTCGAGTTACATCATGGTGGAGAGAAAGCACGGATCTTCGCTGATCTCCTTCTGCCACAGGCCGCCGACATAGACGTCCCTTGCTCTCTCGCTTTCGTTCGGAAATACCGGGATTTGCTGATCAAAGCCCGCGCAAATATGCAAAAGGCTCAAATCCGCATGCAGCAGCAAGCTAACCGGCGTCGACTCCCATGTCCTTTCCGCGAGGGAGACCTTGTTTGGGTCCTCTCCGAGGAATTTGCGCTCGAGCAGGACGTTTCGCGCAAACTCCTTCC